CCTTTCGAAGCATTATATGGTCGTAAATGTAGATCACCGTTGTGTTGGGCTGAGGTAGACGACACTCAGCTAGCAAGAGGACAAACACCAAACAATGCATTAACAGGACCGGAAATCATACGTGAGACGACAGAGAAGATAGTTCAAATCAGAACTCGACTTCAAGCATCACGAGACCGATAGAAGAGCTATGCTGATAAACGGCGAAAGCCCTTGGAATTTCAAGTCGGGGATCGGGTGTTGTTAAAAGTCTCTCCCTGGAAAGGGGTGATTCGTTTCGGGAAACGGGGAAAACTAAACCCACGGTACATTGGACCATTCGAGATTCTTGCCCGAATCGGTCCAGTGGCTTATAGACTGCAGCTACCTGCCGAGCTCAGCAGTGTACACCCCGTGTTTCATGTTTCCAATTTGAAGAAGTGCTTATCCGATGAAACTCTCGTCATCCCATTGGAAGAAATCGAAATCAACGAGAATCTCCTGTTCATCGAGGAACCAGTTGAAATCATGGACAGGGAAGTGAAGCGTACTAAGCAAAGTCGCATTCCGATTGTACCCTCACCTATTCTCGCATTCTCAAATCTAGCTTCAAAAAGAATTTCGGGACGAAATTCCCTCTAACGAGGGGATGATGTCACAACTAGGAATTCTAAGGTTTTTGTAAACATTAACAAGAGTAACATTTGTGGCTAAAACTTGGAAGTATGCATGATGTTTATTCAATAACAACAAAAATTCATCAAACACTCTATACAAACACTTCAAATGGTCAACAAAAGATTGGAAACCCTAAAAATCCCGGTTTAAGTCCATTATGGACTAGGATTTCCTTATTGGGCCTAATGGACCAATAAGCTTCCAATTTGACTATTTTGGGCTTAGGACCCTTAAATGGGCCCTAATTAGACCCACTTCCATGAAACTTAACATTTTGGGCCATAATGGATCCAAAATGAATTGGTTTACCTTAATGGGCCTTATTGGGCCATAACAAACCTAATAAACTTCAATGGGTCGTGAAACCCATTCTTCCATTCTAATTGGGCCGTAAACCCTCCTAAGGGCCCAATGGGCCGAAATCCATCAAAATGGGCCTCCTATTATTAGAACCAAGCATTAAAGGCCCATTCCATCTCTCTTCTTTCTCCCTCTCGGCCCAATATATATAAAAAAAGAGAATAATGGAGATAATAATGCCTTGACACCTCATTTTTGTTTAAGGGATAATTTGGAGATTACACACCATGTATCCATACAATCTCACCTTCCCATGCATCCATCACTTCACTTCTTTCTCTCCTCTCTTATTCACGGCCGAAGGAAGGAACACACACACACACAAACCATTTCAAAACTCTCTCTAAGTATAACACATTCAAGAACACCTCTCCCCTCTCATCAATAATTTTTGAGAACTAGAAGCATTTCAAGGAGGTTTCAACCAAAAATCACATCAAGTTGCACTCTAGTGGTAAGATCTCACAAATCTAAGTAGCATACTTTCTTTTGAACTCATTCATCCTCCTTACCACCCTAATTTCGTGATCATGCCCTCTAGTGAACCCATCCAAGTTCGAAATCCACTCAAGGTGTTGCTAGGACCAAAAATCTTCTTCACATCTTCTTCAAAACCGAAACAACTAAGCAAGGTGAGTTCATACCCCCTTGTTTTCGGTTTTTACTTGTTTTTGGGGGAGAATACAAGTATTATGTGATGATCTATGTGTGTTTGCATGTTATGTGTGTTTTCTTTAGTTTTTGGTTGTGATAATATGTAATACTTGTGATATTTCAAGATCTATAGCAAAAAAGGGTGAAAGAATCATAAACAAAAACAAAATAAACAACATACATCATAGATCTAAGGGTCCTTAAGTTTCAAAAGTGAAAAACAAAGCCAAAGAACTTTACAAGTGTCATTTTTGCAAAAATAACAAAGATTGGGTGTAAATTGATAATTATCGGTTTTATGAGGGCTATAAGGTATTTATTTGTATAAAATCTGATTTTTATGAAAATAACACTTCTCAAAGGGTCAAAAACATAAATTTTAGCTTATTGGGCTTTAAATTGGGCCTCACGAGTTTTTGGGCCCAAGGTTGCGAAAAAAATGAAGTTTTGAGGGGCTGAAATGTAAAACTTAACAAACTATGAGTCTAAAACGTAAATAAACTATTTCAGGGGTTGAAAATGATTTTATTACCAAATTGGACTAAAAATGTAAAGTTTTTGATTTTGGGGTCAAAATTGTAAAACTTACGGAAATTGGGCCAAAAATGTAAACTTTTTACAAATAAAGACTGGAAACGACAAATGCAATAGTTTTGGACTGAAATTACTATTCAAATAAAGTTTAGGTGGAAAATGTCAAGAAAAATGGTTTAAGGACCAAAAATGTCAATTTTCATAAAAAGGGACTAAAAGTGCCATTTTTAAAGAAAAAGGGGCCAAAATGGTCAATCTAAATGTTTTTGGGCCAAATAAACAATTATGAATGTTTGGGTTAAAAATATCAAGCTTATAACGCATGATTTTAAATATATATATATATATATATATATATATATATATATATATATATATATATATATATAACTAAAGCTTCGTTATAATTCAAACGTTAAGATGTTTTTTTTTTAAAAACATTGTGAATAAACATTTAGCATACAACAAATACCAACAATACGAACTTAAACTCGATAGAACATAAGCGTGTTGGGTTATGAGCATTCTAACACTCCTAAGTGTACATGCAACCCTAAATACCTTGGATCTATTTTTCTCTATTATACATACAATTATGAACATCCAAGGTATTATCCTAATCTAGCATACAAAATAATAAATATAACAAGATAGAATACATACCTCTTTGATGTAGAATGTCTTCATGAAGCTTGAGTGCCTAGTGCCCCAAGTGTGACACCTCAAATGGTTCACACAACACCAAATACACTTGGAATAACTTGAGAGAAACTTGAACACTCCTTGAAATCGTCTAGCCCTCACACTCACACATTAGTGCACGATTTCTTGAGCCATGGGATTCTTTTATATGGTGGCTATTAGGGTTACACCATGTAACTCATAACTTTACCCATTCCTTATGCTCCATGGATTTTAACCTCCATGGAGTATCCATGGGTCACCCCATGGACTTAGTCCAACATAAGGAATCTTGGATCACAAGCCCACATATATAAGAATGAATGATTTACACAATCAACCCATATATTTAATTAGTCTCCTTTTGATCACTTAATTAATTCCAAATTAATTCTTGATCAATACTAATTAAATAACATTATTAATATATTAGAACTTATAATATATTAACCAACCTTAAGTGTTATTTCTCTCATTATAGTCTATCCAAATGCATGATGCCATGCAACCCCAAATGGACCATGCCGGGCCGGGTCAAGTCTTACCAATTATAGTTATGGACTTAGACATTAATCCAACAAAGCGATCCAATGGTTGGGCCCAAATACCTTCTATTCGTGCTATTGGGCCTTTGTGGCCCAATATCATGATTATTGGGCCCAATATAATTACACATGTTTATTGGGCCTCAAGTGACCCAATTACATGCCTAATGGACCCTCAATGGCTTTTACATGCTATTGGGCCGTAGTGGCCCATTTGCATTGCTAGTAAGGTCCAAATCAATCATATGCGTGATGGGCTAACGTGTCCGTCGCATACTCGACAGCCTATAATAACATACGTGATTAGTGGGCCTCCGTAGTCCTCTTCTCTTCGTCTGTTAGGCTTCCCTTTTATTCAAGTAAACATAAATCAGGTTGTTAAACAAGGTTATTCAATTTCATTTGGATTTAATGAGTAATAACAGGGCGACACCAATAAGTGTCGGTCGTAGTCTGTAGTTATAATCAAAGTCTCCTGGAGGGAGAACGAGAGTTTGTGTATAGATCTATACGGGGGTGACTCCCCCACACCTAAGCTGTTCGCTACAGTTAGACTCGGCCAGTCTAGGGTGACAAAATCTTAATTCAATACCGGCTTTCACTAGAATGCCAAGACAGACGAAATAGTCATTATTATGCATGGTTATAACGACTCACATAGAGATCCAATACCATCTAAGTAATCATGGGAAATCATAATCATTCGTTGTGGCGATACAATAATACAAGACGATCATACTATTTATATCGGGAAACATCGGGTTTTCCGGGGGAACGACATTATTCACTTTTACTTTCGATAACTATAATACAAGAATTCATTATGAGAAACATACTACTTTTACACGTTTTGAAATCATTCATGCATATACTTATGGATCGTCACACCTATTTCGTAAACAATTGTCGTTTCAGAAAATATCGGATTTTCTGGGTTTTACAAACAATACAAAACATTTCCATATCAAACCTGCTTATGAACTCACCAACATTATATATGTTGACCGTTTTCAAAACAACTTGTGTTCTCAGGTAACCGTTAGAATGAAGAATTATCAAGCGTGTGTCTGAATGTCTTTTGTGTGATGTCATTTGAAAAATAATATATGTTTGGGATTTATGTAATGAAAACAATGTACTTGATGTGAACAATTACGGTTGTAATGTATTAATGCATGGTGATGTTTATGTTATGATTCATGTATATTCATTGTGATGATATTTCAATTTAAGTCACACGAGCCCTCAGACGTTTCCGCCGTCTGGTTCGGGGGTGTGACACTAAGTCATCAATGGCCATGTTCATAGCTTTATTATGCCTCAAACAAGTTGGAAATAAAGCACATAATCCATATCCATAAGCTCTTCCTTGATCCTCAACCTTGCACCAATCTCCTACTTCTTGGATATGGACCAAAACACAAAAAATGAATACCATGAGCTCAAAATACCATCATGAAGACTAAAGATCGATTTCTAGGGTTTTGAGGACTTGGAGGCTGGTAGAGAGGCCAACCCAAAAGACTTAATGAGCTTATATAGGGTACATCAACAAAATTAGGGTTTTCATTAAGAGGCACGTACGCTTTCCTTGACACCATTGGATTTTTTTGAAGGTTTTGTTGATGACTCACAAACAGTATCTTCAAGATCGTAAACATCTACAAGTTTACGTTTCACATTGTTAGGTGGTGAAAGGAGGCTAGTGGTGTCGTGGTTGGTTGATGGACTCATTGAAATGGTATTTGGAAAAGTAGAGATAGGAGTATTATCAGCAACGAAGGAAGCAGAACCCTTAAATGCAAGAATTATTATATGTTAAAGATTGACATAGGAGTAATGTAAAACAACGAAAAGAAAAAAAAGTAGGAAATTATACCTTAAAACCAATTGTATCCTGAGAGTTGAAATCTGAGACCACGACATTAACAGACTCAGTTTCAATGTCGTATATAACAGTTTGTAAATTGTATTTTAGATTGGTAAATATCAACTATATAAAACGTAATATGTAAATGGATTAAGATTTAGTTGTAGTTAAACCTGTTCAATGTGGTTTGCTTTTTCAAGCTTCTCGAACGCAGAAATTATGTCAACGTTATCACTTATATTTGATATGTTGTAACTACGAATGTATTTTTTTCCAGAGGTAAAGTGTTTAACTATAATTTTGATAGCCATTTTTTTACCAATAAGTTCATTAATCTCAACAGGAAAACCAACACTCTTACCCATCTACAAAAAAATGTAAATTAAACAAAAGTTAGAATGAAAATGTAGAAATGATTAGAATAAATTATTGAATTTATATTATGGATTTTATAAAATATACCTTTTCATACTTTTGTATCAAATCTGATGCAAAAATGTTTAGAATACTTCTAATGTGACATCCCCATTTTTCTCGGTCAGAAAAGACCGATTTTGTTTATGCTTTACAAAAATAAGAGTACTTCTTTTAATAAAAATGTTGCGGAATTTGTTCCCAGAAAAACATGATAAATATATTATCAAAGCATTTCCGAAGAAATGTATTTTTATTCATTTTAAAACATTTGGGATGTCATCGTCAATACAGAAACATAAGCGTAAACAAAACTTACATTCATTATCACTAGTGATTTATATCTCCTTAATCCCTCAGTGTAATGTAACTTCATATCGACACCTGTGATTCAAATAAACTGAATGGGTCAGGTTGGGAAACCTGGTGAGTACATAGGGTTTTCAACCCACAATAATATAATTATTATGTTTAAACATCAAACAAACAACCCAATTACCCATCCCCATTATCTTATTTACTCTTAAGGATCTACCCTAAGAATCAACTATTCCTCGTTCATTCATTCCTAAGGATCATCCTAAGGAATCGGAACGAAGTCCATCGTTGCCACGGTTTACACAACGGGCACTAAGTCTGCATAGTCGCCAGGGTTAAGGCACCAAGTCTGCATGGTCGCCAGGGTTTAGGCACCAAGTCTGCATGGTCGCCAAGGTTTAGGCACCAAGTCTGCATGGTCGCCAGGGTTTAGGCACCAAGTCCGCATGATCGCCAAGGTTTAGGCGTAAAAATCCGCATGATCGCCAGGGTTTAGAGTAGACCGGGTGAACACATCGTTCACAACACCTACATGTTGCGAGCCTGCTAGTGTTCTACTGGACTGTCTAGAATAGTCCATGGTTGTCATCCATACTCTGCTAGATGACGGGGCCACACTTGGGTATAAGGCTTCTCTCATTGTTCACCTCTCACCCTTATCTCATGGTCTATATCACCTCTTATCTCAACATTCAATTCATATTTCATCTACCCATGTTTTACCTAACATATTTTTTAGATATAAAATACATATACAGTTTAAATCATTTAAAGCATGTATAAAATCTTTCATTCAGCATATACAACAAGTATTCAGACAATATGCAAACATAGCACATAATTTATATAAAATACTTCATATTTATGTGTAAGATGAAAGTAACTATGCACTCGCCTGGTAAGGTGGTGACTCGGTACTCGGACAACACTTCGTTATCTCAAAACAATTTTCTCTTGACAAAACCTAGTATCAATACCACTAGGGCTTAGTCTAACGTTAACCGCGGCTAATTAATAGTCTAGCTATTATTACTATTATATAAGCGTTAAGCAACACTCTTATATAACTCATAAAAATAGCCCAAATAATTATTTTAAGGTCCTAATAATGTTACTATAAATAATTAGAAGCTATATTAAAAATAGCGTAGGCGTAGCTCACTTACAGCGGGTTTTCTCGAAAACCGGGCTCTGCCGGAGCAGAGTTTTGAGCCGAAAGGCTCTTTTCTCAGGGATTCGGGAGCCTCGGGGCTTCCTTCGGGTGCTAGGGGGTTTACCTAGACTTTAGGGGGGGTTTTGGGGGCTAGAGAGAGAGAGTTTAGAGAGAGAAAAGAAGTTGGAATGGTGTGAAGAATGAGGGAACCCGACACCTCTATTTATAGGCTGGAATCCTGCTCTACTCGTCGAGTCCATGGCCAGGTGTCACCACCTGGTGGATTGCCTTGGGGAGAAAGCCTTGGCCCATATTCAGCCACGTTACCCGATTTCGTACAACACCCTGCCGACTTCTAAACCTCGTAACGTTCGCATACAAGCTCCGTTTTCGACGTTATTTATATCCACGCGTAGATAAAAACAAGATCTACAACTTTCATTTAGACTCCATTGGCTAATTCTGGACCGGTCTTAAATTTAACAGTAGGATGAGATTAGACTGTTAAATGACCGCGAAGAATTCGTAACTCCTTCATACAGACTCCGTTTTCGTCTGTATTTTTACCGTTGAGTTCCTATTAATGAGATCTTCAACTCTCATTTAGGTTGTGTAAGCCAAAAACCGCTCGAACTAAAATTCGAGTTTCGTGCCGTGCACTGTTATGCCCAATCTTAGAAAATTCATAACTTCCTCATATGAAGTCAGATTTGGGCGTTCTTTTTTTTGTATGTTCTCGGTTTAATGTATACTACAACTTTTGTTTAGATTACTAAGGCTAAAATGTTATCTACCGTAAATTCACTATTTACGTCTCCCAGTGCCGTGCCGGTTTTGCCGAAAAACTTCGACATGCCATAACTTTTTCGTTATAACTCGGATTTCGGCGTTCTTTATATGTACGGAACCCTTGACACATATTCTACAACTTGGTTAAGATTATTTATTCTAAATAATCTTTTGTCGAAAAGTTGTTTTCGACCCCTATTATCTCTACATTGACTAGCCCGGATCTACATGCGTTACATCTAACATCCCGGTTTAAACAGAGTAAGTGTCACTACTCCCACCAAGCCTTGTACTAAGAGTTAAAACTAAGGTATTCAACAAACAAATAAATGAATACAAATTAGTTAAATACAATAATGAAAGAATATTAAATTTATTATGGTACCTTGGTTCAACAACTATGACTTGTCCTTTGCACTTCTCATGTGTACATACCCATGATTCATTCTCAGCCACATGGTCCAAAACATTGGATTGTTCAAGGGGCATTTTTTGAACCTTTCTCTTACATGCTTTGCAAGCTAGGTAGTACCATTGCTGACTATCTTCAAACATCTTAATTGTGCCAAGAATGATAGTATAACTCCCCTATAGTAATAAGAAATGATGGTGAATTAGGAAAATTATGTATTACTAATTTAAGATTTAATAATGTAAATATACCTCATCTAATTCATGGATCATGGAAATTTGGTAGAACGGATTATTTTTAAGAAAGTCATCATGTACAGTATACATGATGGAAGACGTTGTAGCACGAGAACATGAAGAAGCCGATCCACTATGTTTTTCATTCAAATTGTATACAAATATAGTGTAAGTATAATATCAATAAAAAATATAATTAGTTTAATAGCTTTGTTGATCAATTTGTTCAATAATTTCTTCAACTTTCTCATCAATGAATAGCTTTGTTGCTAAATATGTGTTATTCACATATGCACGCCCTGAAAAGAAAATGAAAAAAATGTTGGATTACATTATTTCTTATATAAATATTGAAAACGGTAAAGATAAAACATTGTATTAATAAAAGGACCTTGGTGATTCTTCAACTTAGCACATTGAATAATCATTACAAAATTCCACCGGTGTTTGGATACATAGGAATCAATTTGTTCAGCGTAATCTCCCCACAAAGTAGCAAACACTTGTCGTCCCCTAAATGTATATGAATTAAAACAACAATTTAAAAACTAATAATACACAAGTCATGGAAGAAACTGTCACACCCCCAAACCGAAACGGCAGAAACGTTCGGGGGCGGATGACGTCATATGTAGTATCACAACAATTGCATCATAGTAATCAAAGTAAACACAACCATTACATTGAATATATATAAAAAGTATTTAGATCTGTTTGCTTCATATTTTATACATCAAAAGTAGTAAAAAGAAAGTCGAGATTTCATACGCTCCGTCTGCTCAAAAGTCTGCCAAGGTACCTGTCTACTGATTTGCTGAGAATACAAGTGGTTTTGAAAGAGAGTATCAGCATAAAAGCTGGTGAGTTCATAAGCATCTTTTGTAATAAAAACCTGTTAATGAATCAATGAAAATGTTTGTATATTTCTAAGAAAATCCAATATTTTCTTAACATGTAAGTTTGTTACAATGTTCCATAAAGTATTTGTTGAATGTTTATTTACCACGAGATTAATTGTATAATACTGTTTTGAATGTAAGATCCCTTTTTATAAGAAAACCTTGGCTATCACCAGTATGAATAGGATGTTCTGTTTGAAAACCCTGGTTAATACCAGTATGTATTGTAGTTTTATTTCTCATAAAGAAACCATGTATTTTCCATACTTATGCTAAATAATCATTATTCATGTATCGTCTATTACAACGTAAATATATCATTGTTATCTATTTGCGAGTTTTATGACCATACTAACTGATATGGCGCGAATCGGGCGCCAGTATCTTTTATGACTTTGTCATTCGTAGACCTGCCGGTCCTACTGTAGCTAGCAGCAAGGTGCGGGATTATCAGTCCCGTATAGATCTATACACAAACTCACACTCTCCCTCGAGGAGACTCTGGTTCATAAGGGTAGTCTTCCACCAGTAATGTAATTGTACCCCAAGACGTGTCTCTCAAACTAAATTAACGACTTTACAAGTAATAATACGGGAAAACCTTTTTATAAATACAGAGAGGTTTATAAAAGATGTGTTTGTGTGATGTATGTATAACCATGTATTGAATTCCCAACTATACCTATTATAGTTTGTGTGTTTGTATATGTATAACCATGTATTGAATTCCCAAACTATACCTATTATAGTTGTGTGTTGTATATGTATAACCATGTATTGAATTCCCAAACTATACCTTAAATATTAGTTTGTGTGTTGTATATGTATAACCATGTATTTGAATTCCCAAACTATACCTATTATAATTGTGTGTTGTTATATGTATAACCATGTATTGTAATTCCCAAACTATACCTAATATAGTTTGTGTGTTTGTATATGTACTTTGATTTATGAATTGGTCTGAAAACTATGTGGTTATGCTTGTAAGTTGAAAACGTCCCTTATGCTCAGCATATTACAAAAGGGATAAATATCTAAATATTTTATAAAACATGGAAAGTCTTTTGGTTGTATCGATTTCATAAGTCTTAAACTCGTTGAAATTCTTTTGTATAAGTTCACAAAAATAATTGTATTGGGCTTGTATTACCCCCTGAAAACATGAAAAATAGTAAAAGCTTAGGGGTATGAACTCACCTGTTGTGAGTGATGCGTACGTAAGATTGTTGTAGGATGCTAAGTGTAAGTGAAGACTCGAGTATACACGGATCCTATTTAGCATATAATGACACATATTTGTATCAAATTAGTGTATAACACAACTAGTTGTGATAGGGAATCACCCTAGGGACTAGGAAACACTTGAAACTAAGTGTTAAAATCACATATGATTGAATAAGGGAGGTTCACGGCCACACTAAGGTGTGTACGGCCATGGGGTTCACGGCCCATGAGTGTACGGCCGTACACTCATGAAGAAGTATGAAAATGAGGTGTTTTAAGGTCCTATCTAGCATCAAGGAAGTGTTCTTGGTCCCATGCTTAGCTTTGAGGAAAGTTTAAGGCCAACTATGAACATCAACAAGGGTTTACGACTCTATGAGGTGTGTACGGCCGTACAAGGGTTTACGACCGTACACCTTCATGTTCTTGCTAAGATGGTCGATTTTAAGATGAATAACAAGTGTTTCTAGTAGATAACAAGCATAGGAAGCAGTTACTCACAATTTGGAAGCTTGATGAGGGTTTACGGCCACCAAGAACTAGTGTGTGTTCTTGTTCTTCTTGGTGAAAGATGAAGATATAACCAAAGATGAAATTTATGGAATGAAAACATGGATTCATCACTAGTTAAAGCAATGTGTGCACAAATTAAGGTAGGAAACACTTACTTTATGAAGATCTAGGTGAGAATTTGATGATAGTAGAGAGAGAATCCGAATTCTTGGCTTGGAAGTGTGAAAAGTGGTGAATAATGACTAAGTATCATTTATATAGGTGAGAGTTCACAACCATAGATGGGTCTACGGCCGTACACCCATGTGTACGGCCGTACACTCCTCTTGAAGGAGTGATTGGCTCGAATGCTATACTATGACTTAAGATATCTCATCTCTAAACCCAAACCTTGATGGTACTAGGCTTAGAACACTTAAACAGGCTCTAAACAATGCTAAAAGATAGCGGAAATGAGTCTGACTTTGATTGAATTGAATGGTTGTACAAGATAGAAATTTCGGGTTGTCACATCATCCCCGTTAAGGGAATTTCGTCCCGAAATTCAGACACTGAATACAAATCATGAACTCGGAAATAGATGAGGGTACTTATGTTTCATTGAATCTTCGCGCTCCCAAGTGAATTCAGGACCCCACTTGGCATTCCAGCGAACCTTCACTATCGGGATACGACTTTGTTTTGTTCGCTTTACTTCCCGATCCATGATTTCTACGGGTTCCATCTACGAAGTGTAAGTTCTCGTCTAGTTCGATCTCATCGAGGGGAATCACAGGTGTCTCATCGGACAAACACTTCTTTAGGTTCGACACGTGGAAGGCGGGATGTACGTTGTTCTGTTCTCGGGGTAAACGAAGTTTGTATGCTACGGAACCGATCCTAACGGGAATCTCGAATGGTCCTATGTATCTCGGATTCAGCTTTCCACACTTTCCAAAGCGTATCGTGCCTTTCCTGGGTGAGACCTTCAAAAGAACACGGTCACCAACCTGGACCTCCAAAGGTTTTTGTCTCTTATCAGCACGACTCTCTTGTCTATCCCTTGAATATGGATTTGTGTTAGCCTCTAAGCTTAAACTCGAACCATTGGACGAGTGGTAGTTCTGGAGGGTTTACTAGGTATACTTCAGAAAGGTTTCGGAGGGTAAGGTACTCCTCGCATGAGTACTTCGGGGTCTAGAATATGAGAAAGGCGATTCAGAGATCTATGTCGGGTTGTCGTTACGAGTAACAAGGGTCCGATATAGGGGTTTTTTAAGGCGGTGGGTTTTCGAGACACACGAACTTGGTATGGTGAGGACCACACTAATCCCTGTCGAATGACTACGCCGAATTCTTTATAGAAACAAGTGTTAGTTCGATTTGATGAACGTCTGTTTATGATGGTGTATCCGGAGTGTGCTCGACAGTGTATTATGTGTAGGCTTTCTAGTGCTTTCTCGATATTACCACTGCCACAAATCGTACCGCAAAAACCGAGTACTAGCAGTGAAAGTGCTTTGATAACTAGTGAAGATTACTTTATATTATGATTCTTCTCGGTACCTCTATGATCGCTTGGCATATACAAGTTATGTATAATTAAGATGAATATGAAGGTCGACTGAGTGACTCTGCCCTGAATCCACAACCAGACAAGGAACAGGAATTAAGGCGGAATCACTCACTCTAAGTCTGCATCATCTCAGCTATACACAACCCTAATGTATAAACTAAGCCATCATTGCTTCCCTGAACGAATCTTTAGTTTTCTTATGGATGTCGTGACTTGTTCGGACGAGTGAGTAATTTATGTTGGATTAATGTCTAAGTCCATAACTATATTTGGTATGTACTTGACCCGACCCGGCATGGTCCATTTGGGTTGCACTTCACTGGCACAATTTATATGGATAGTCTTTTGAGAATAGTATATTTATGATTTATATTAATATATTATAAGTTCTAATATATTAATATGGAATCATATTATTTAATTAGTATTGATCAAGAATTAATTTAGAATTAATTAAGTGATCAAAAGAACTAATTAAATATGGACTCTTATATATATGGAATGGGCCAATTTCATTTAGGTTGGGCTAAGCTTTCATGGATGGTCCATGGAGCTTTTAACCCATGGATCCTATGTAAATGAAAGGTCATGGGTATTAGGGTTTACATGGATGTAACCCTAATCCTCCATAATATATAAAGGGGTCC